AAGGAGGGCAGTTAGTGCACCATCAAGAATTGCGATACTCATACCAGAACTTACCATGTCTCGAGAGATTATTAATTGCAAGTTTCATGGATCTGAAAAATTAAGATGTCATCATTAGGGTTATCAACGCAATAAATCATTATATTTGAGTCAAGACATCCCAAGATGTGAAGCTCTATACATTGTAGTTCCACATCAAAGAACATCAGAAATAGTCATCTTTGTGGCATGGTATAGGAAGTCAGATATCAAATCCTCATATAAGAACATCTTACACCTCACTTACGAGGTCTGTATGACTGGAGTTGGTTAATGCCACATATTGCATGACTTTGTTCACGGAATATCACAATACCTTTTCCAGTGAACCTCGTGATTTAGGCCCCCAAAATAAAATTGATACTGGAGTTGCAGGCTCAAGATATCAGTTAGACAGACAACTCTTACTTACAAAACAGGCTTTAAAAAGATATAAGACATAATGAACAAGGAGTAACAGAACCGAGTACTAGTCTTTGAGCATCACCTATTGTATTTGTGAAGAAGAAGAATGAATGTACAAAGTTCTTCGTGGACAACTAGAAGATAAATGCAGTCACAAATAAGAATGCCAACCCACTGCAAAGGATTGAGCCTACTTTGGATGCTTTATCTGGATCACAATCGTTTTCACAACGAAGCAAGCACAGAAAAAATCCTTTACTGCAAGAAATGGATTGTGGCAGTTTGTTACAAGTTAGCTTATGTAATGCACCTACTACATTCAAATGACTAATGTAGTTTGCTTTTGTCTGCACTGTCCTGAAACACCTTAGTCGTCAACTTAAATAGCATAATTAATCATGGGAAAACATTTGATAATGCTTATGATGGGCCAAGAGAAGCCAGCTCATTTAGCCTGTCTTAGCACATTGTTGATCGAATTGTGTTCCTTATCCTTTTTAGCATCGATAATGCTTGTTTTCACGAGCATTTGCTTGACATGAGGCACAGGTGCACCCTTAAGATTATCAGAATGTTTGGAAAAGTTGATATCAGTATAAAAGTTTACATATCATTCTCAGCATATTTTGTTCCTTATATCCTGACGGTTTTTCAACGAACCCTGTCTTACAAAGGAAGGCAAATTGAACAATTGCTTCCTCTGTGCAACTCTCCAAGTCCATAGGATACGTGCTAATCAGCTTTTTAGTGGCATTGCGGAGGTGCTCTGTGGGCATGGACTCCTAAGTTTCATAGAACCCCAACTTTGCAACTGACGTTTTAATTTGCCACTGTTGTTTGTCTAGTGCAAATAACATTTTGTCAATTATTGTTAAGAAAATATGAGCTTTATATTGAGTAGAGGGTGAAAAATCACTGTCCTCAACCATCCCTTCGTCCCATCGCGAATTTCTCTTCCTCTTCCTTGATCTTTCAACCTTATATATGTCTCGCATTCTGACAGTTGTTACCCTTTACCTCTTATTCAGGAAATGACTCTTGTAATTTTTGGACAAATATCTTCAGAGATTTTAGCAGATGAGAAGTTGTACTGACAGCCATTTGGGAGTTTTGTAATGAATTACTTGTCTTGTGAAACCTTTCCAAGATAATGCTCCACAATTTCATGATTACACCTGTCTGCAGTTGTTCCAATTGTAGCA